GCTAGTGGTGGGCAGTCTCTGCGGTGAGCGGCGCCCCCTTCTGGCCAGCCTCCCTGATGACGGGCAGGGCTCGGGCGGAGGAGAGGTGGAGGATGTGGCAGGGCACCCTGGTAGGAGGGAGTGAGAGACCGGCCCTCGTCTGTCGGCTGGCAGCTCCCCGCTGGGCAGGGGGGTGCCCAACACGCCCACTTACACCAAGTCCTAGTGGTGGGCAGTCTCTGCGGTGAGCGGCGCCCCCTTCTGGCCAGCCTCCCTGATGACGGGCAGGGCTCGGGCGGAGGAGAGGTGGAGGATGTGGCAGGGCACCCTGGTAGGAGGGAGTGAGAGACCGGCCCTCGTCTGTCGGCTGGCAGCTCCCCGCTGGGCAGGGGGGTGCCCAACACGCCCACTTACACCAAGTCACTGCACCTGCGCTGGGGGGGCCAGGTGTGTGCGCACCCCCCTCGCGGCCAGCACGGCGCCGCCCGCCCTTTTGTGCAACGAAAGCCGAGAGCCCAGGGGCGGGGTCAGACAGAGACATCTGGAGGTCAAAGGTCACTGCGGCGAAAGCACGCCCCCCCCCCCCTCCGGGCCCTTACGTGTACTGGAGGCAGAGGGCAGCCACGGTCTGGACAGCCTCCGTTTCCATGGCGTCGGGGCGGGAGTCCAGGAACGCCCCGTACTCTGTGGGGTCTGCAGACACCAGGAAGGGGCTCGAGTCAGGGGTGTGAGCGGGGCGGAGCTGGCCCGGTTCACGCCTGTGTCTGTGGGCGCCCCGCAAGGGGCCTGAAGGAGGCGGAGGCCAGGCCCCCTGCAGGCTGGGTACCTAGAGCCGTGCTTCCCATCCTAGAGCCTTCCCCACGTACCCTCTCGCGCTGGGTTCCAGTGGCCCAGGTCTTGCTCTGCGTGGAACTGGAAAGCAAACCCACCCGGAGGGAAGGGTTAGTGCTGGCAGGTGGGGGTGCCAAGCCCCCTCCCCACATCCAGGGCTACTCCTCCCCGTGCCCGCTGGTGCAAGGAAGCAGGCTGGCCTGTTGGCTCATGCTCTCGGACACACCGGAGAGGAGCCTGGCCGGCTCCTGGGGAATGGAAACTCTTGGAAATCGCCTGCCATGGGGGGGCTACTGACACACAGATTATGGCAACTTCTGGGGTGCTGGGAAGGGCTGGCTCTGCCTAATTTGCTGATGGCTTTTGGGGTGCTTGTCCCTCTGGGGTCACGGGCCAGGGAAGCAGCTTGTCCAGGGGGTGGTGAGATTTGGGGGAGGAAGCTGGAAATCAATATCTGCTTTCTGTTTCCAGGACAGGAACACTGTCCGCTGGGCCCAGCCCCACGCTGCTCTGCCCTTTGTGCGGCCGGCGGTCCCTACAGCAGGGCGTGGGACATGCTGCTGCTCTGATCTGGTGGCACCGCTGGAGCCGGGCACAGGAGGTGACACTTACCAAGAGGACACAGTCTGTGCCCTGCAGCTCGTTCATCACCACGTGCAGATCTTGGGGGCAGACGTGGGGGAATTCCTTCACGCCGCTGGCAATCAGGGAGCACGCGAACCCGGGGACGCCAGCCTGCAGCATGGACAGGAGCTCGTCCTACAGCAGGCGGCACAAGAGATGCACTCAGGCCTGGACATCCCCGTGCCTGGCGGAGCTGCAGCCCAGCCCTAGCACTTGCAGGTGGCCAGCTGAGCCCAGGAAAGGGGGCCAGGCCCGAGACGGGTCATGTTCCACGCTGGCAGGTTACCCGGCACCAGGCCCCCAGCCCCTCCCGATGGCTCCAGCGCGGAGACCCACATCTCAGCAAAGTCTGCCTAGGACGTGCACCTGACGATTGTCCCTGTGGCCACCAGGCCTCGTCCTGGCCCCCAGCTCAGCCGGCGCCTGGGACAGCTCTGCTCCGCGAGGACCAGGGCCACCGATTCCTCTGGCCACTTACCGCTGCCGAAGGCCGAATGAGACGGCCCTCAGCCTGCAAACCCGCATCTCCAAGCCCAGATCTCCGCCCGGGATTCCACAGCTGTCTGGACTTTACTGACCCGTGGCCTGGCCAGCCACCCCTCCCAGGCCTGCAGGCTGGCCCAGGCTCTTCTGCCCCCAGCCTCTCCGGGAGCCAGGGCCAACCCTTCCCCCCTGGAGTCAATGGGAGTCTTGCAAGTGGACACAGATTTGTTAGCAGGATCCCCAGGACGGGCCTTGTCTCTTCCCCCACACGACCCCCTGAGGGCAGGCAGGTCAGCTGAGCTGGAGGCTTGCAGCCGTCGGGGGCTGGTCAGCGTCCCCTGCGTTATTTCTGGCTGTGCCGCCTTCCTGGAGTGACTTCTCACCAGATTGCCAGAGGCCCCCAGCACGTGCGCCCCAGAGAGCAGGGGAGGCCTGGTGCCTGCCCTGGCTCTGTCCCAGCCGGATGCACTGACCTGGTTCCCAGGGACGACTCCGCCCCAGAAGGCTACGTCCACATGGCACTGCCCTTTGGCAGCCTGCAGCTTGGCGTCCAAGGTGGCCAGAGTTGTGGTTGGGGAGATACCGTTCCTGGCAGGGCAGAGACCGGGGAGGGGGGGCAGTTTCACTAGATCCAAACCCTCCCTCTCTGGGA